CAGTCTGTGGGTTACAAATGCCTGATTTATAGACCACTCCTACTTGTCCCTTCATGCTATGTAAATCTCCCCTCACTTTGAAATCATGGAAACCACCCCTACTTGCAACAAAATTCTCGTCACAGTCACCTTCATTTGCTGGATGTGAAGTTTCTAAATCATTAAAAGGTGTCCAGTCTATTTTTGCACTCAAGTAAGGTTAAGGAAGAAGCATATGCACCTGTTCTGACTCACCTATAAATTCCCCTTGAACACTTAGAGACACATTTAGGTCTAGTTTGTAACCTAAGGACTACCTATATATTTATAACAACAATAATAAAATCCTGCAGTAAGACACAAAGCAAAGCAATGAGATAGTACTTCGTACCCAAATCAGGCTGGCAAGAGCCAAAAAGCCAGAGATCAACAAGTGTTGTTGAGGATGTAGAAAAATCAAAAAACCTTCACCCATTGCTGGCAGTAATATAAAATGGTACAACTGCTTTGGAAGACAGTCTGCCAGCTCCTGAAAAGATTAAACATAGGCTAGTTAGTTAGGTACCCAAGAGGAACAAAAATACATGTCCAAATAAAAATGTGTGCATTTATGTTCATAGCAGCATTACTCATAAAAGTCAAAAATGAAAACAATCCATGTCACTAATTGCCAAATGGATGATTAGGATGTGATATTCTATATGGTAGAATATTATTTGGCCATAGAAAGAAATGCAGTGTTGATATGTGGAAGAGTCAGCCTCCACAACTGACTGGGCCCAAGGAGTGGTTGTGTAATTGAAGGGTAGATTAAAGAAACAACAGCCAAAGCATGCAAGGGCTCATCTCTTCTATGGTGAACAGAAGCAGAATGAGGGAGTAATGTATTCTCTCACAAGCTTATGTAATCTCAGGCATGCAAGTCATGGCAAGTACATGCATAACAGGAAGGGGTTGTAGTAGAGGCATGCATGTAACATGAAGGGGACGAGCTAGGGGTATATATGCAATAGGAAGGGGAGGCACTAGAGGCATACATGTGGCAGGAAGTTACATACATAACAAGTTAAGTTGGTTCCAGAGCCAAGATGGCAGCTTAACCTTGGGCATCTCTGAGTTAGCTTGACCTTAGGTGGCCCTGAGCTCTTCTCCAGAGGAATAATCTATGATCCTTATCAGAAAGGAATGGGTCCTAGTTAGGGTTTGATGCTTTTGGTGGTAGATAACCTTCAGACTGCTTTTGGTGGTAGATAACCTTTAACCTTCAAGCAGTTAATCTTCAAGAGTATAGTAAGCAACGATGTGCTTGTAAGTACCACCTTAAAATTGGCATTATTAAGGGGGTGGGTGGATTGTGGGGAACAACTTTCACTCAGGAGAATATGATTGGGATGCATCCCAACCCACAAACATGAAGGCTTCCCTCCCCGGGAGCTCGGGTCTCTCCAATTTCTTGACATATGAGAGTAGATCATTTGTCGCCATACACTCTTCCCGGTTATCAGTCTCCTACACTGATAAATGCTACAGCATAGAACAACACTGAAAATATGCTAAGTGAAAGTAGTCAGTTATGAAAGACTACATATTATATGACTCCATTAATACAAAATGTCCAGAGCAGGGAACTCAATGTAATCAGAAAATAAATAAATAGTTGCTTCGGGGGTGGGGGGGTGGGGGGTGGTGGAAGTAACATCTAAAGGGTGCAGCTTTGTTTATGAAGTGATGAAAATGTTCTAAAATTGAGGTACCCTCCAAACTCACCACCTAAATATATAAAATATGTATACTTCAGATTTTATGTATTATGTGATGGCTGCACATAAATGTGAGAACACTAAAAACACTTGACTGGTACAACTTAAATTAGTCAACTATGTGGTATGTGAATCAGATCTTATTAATGCTGTTTGAAAAATATAAAGGGTATTAAGGTAGCAGATGGACATTGGGCCGCCTCTCAAGTACTCCCTCAATGCAAGAAAACTCTCTTCCATTAAATTGGCATTCTATGATGCTCACCTTCCCGACACAATCGCTGAAGACAAAGCGGGTGAATAAGCAAATGTGGTGAAGAAAGCTGATGGTGCCCGGCTATCAAAAGATATAGCATCTGGGGTCTTAAAGGCTTGAAGGTAAACAAGCGGCCATCTAGCTCAGAAGCAACAAAGCCCACATGGAAGAAGCACACCAGCCTGCATGATCACGAGGTGCCGAAAGGATGTTATCAGGCATGAAAGAACAAAAAATCATATCATTGTGTGCTCACCTCCCTAATATGATTGCTGAAGACAAATGGGTGCATAAGCAAATGTGGTGAAGAAAGCTGATGGTACCGGCTATCAAAGGGTATAGCGTCTGGGGTCTTAAAGGCTTGAAGGTAAACAAGCGGCCATCTAGCTCAGAAGCAAAAAAGCCCACATGGAAGAAGCACACCAGCCTGTGCAATCACGAGGTGTCTAAGGGATCAGGTAGCAGGCATCATCAGAACAAAAAATCATATCATTGTGAATTAGAGGGGGAGTGCAGAGTGGAGACCAAGAGCCCATTTGTAGGCCACTGGACATCCCCTTACAGAAGGGTCTCAGGGAGGAGATGAGCCAGTCAGGGTGCGATGTAGCAACTATGAAACATACAACTTTCCTCTAGTTCTTAAATTCTTCCTCCCCACCCCACCCCCCCACTATCATGATCCCAATTCTACCTTACAAATCTGGCTAGACCAGAGGATGTACACTGGAGGATAGGAACTGGAAACACAGGGAGTCCAGGGAGGATGATCCCTTCAGGACCAGTGGTGTGAGTGGCGATACTGGGAGGGTGAAGGGAGGGTGGGTTGGAAAGGGGGAACCCATTACAAGGATCTCCGTATGACCTCCTCCCTGGGGGATGGGCAGCAGAGGAGTGGGTGAAGGGAGACATCAGACAGTGCAAGATATGACAAAATAATAATTTGTAAATTATCAAGGGTTCATGGGGGAGGGGGGAAAATGAGGAGCTGATGCCAGGGCCTTGGGCGGAGAGCAAATGTTTTGAGAATGATGAGGCCAATGAATGTACAAATGTGCTTTTCACAATTGATGTATGTATGGATTGTGATGAGAGTTGTATGAGCTCCTAATAAAACAATTTAAAAGAAGAGAAATATATAAAGGGATGGGTCTAAAGGTCTCATACTTGTCTTCCTCTTTGGGATTTATTTTTTAACCTCCAACACCTCAGTACAAGGCCAAAGACTTCAGTGTGATGACCTCTCCTCTCATTGCTCTAGCAGAGATCCGAGAACATGGGCAGCCTCCCAAGGACAGCATATTACAGAATTCACTCCCCAAATGGCATCCAAGCAGACTTGGTCCCTCAGGGGCAAAGGAACTTCAGGTCTCAACCTGATAACCCGTCTAACTCCCTGATTTCGTGGTTCTTTAGTAAAACATGGAGGTGCGTACCTGACAGCATTTTGAGAAAGGGTAAATAAGAATGTGACTTTGTAAAAAGCTTAGTGCTGTGATTGGCACACCATCTGGCAGTCCCCATGGACACCTCGTGATCACACAGCCTGGTGTGCTTCTTCCATGTGGGCTTTGATGCTTCCCTGTTACATGGCTGCTGTTTTTAACTACAAGCCTTTAAGAATCAGATGCTGTATCTTTCAATAGGTGGGCACCATCAGCTTTCTTCATCATATTTGCTTGTGCAACCATTTTGTCTTCAGCAATCTGGCTGGGAAGGTATCATACACTGACACATTATTTGAACAAACCGTTCTTGAACTAAGGTAAGATTTAAGTAGCGGTCCAACGTCCATCTGCTTCCTTGATATATATATATATATATATATATATATATATATTTGTTCAAATAATGTTCAATGTATATACATATATGATATATATAGATATTTGTTCAAATAATGTGCCAATGTATGACACCTTCCCAGCAATATTGCTGAAGACAAAATGGTTGCACAAGCAAATATATATATATACACACACACACACACACAAAGATATGCCCCCCCAAGGGGGGAAACTTTTTAACTCTTTGCCTATGTACATATTACCTATTAAAAGTTCACAAGTTATTTAAAACTTAAAGTTACCAGTTTAAAATTTTTCCTCTAAGCTTTCTTGAGTTTCAACAAAACTGAAATTGGAACAGCTTTGACCCTAAGAACTGATAGTGACCCCTGGCGTTTGGTACCCCTCACTGCAGCTGCTGGCTGAGGCCACCGCGGACTATGCTCTAAGTACCATAAAGAATCGTTCTTCGCTAACATCAGCTAACTAAATTGTTACCTATGAAGACACCGAAACGCCTTGATATGAGGGATGGCATTGCCTCGTGCTTCGTTGTTCTTGATCCCAGTTTGGGGAGCAGGTGAAATAGTAGATTCTTTGCCTATTTGTATCCATTCTGTTTCCGTTTCCCTCCATTGGAAGCATCCCGCGGCTATGGGGGGCACCAGTGGAGATGAGAGCGGGTGTTCCACATACAGCACATAACCGCACCACCAGCAGATACTGCGTTTACCATGCTCGACCATCTCCTTCCAGGTCGCCTGTACCTAAACATTTTCCCACATGGCCGTCAGCCTAAACTGTGCAACAAGTTTCTAAACCAGATAAACGTTAAACGTCTGCTTGTCGGTTATTGCAACAATGCGCTTATTAGGAACCACCTGGAAGCTGCACCGTATGTTTAGGTTATAAAGGCGTGTCCTTTGGAAAATACGCGCTAAGTCAGCGTAGTCGTTTCGATAGGGTTGAAGCCTGAGCCAGTGGCAACCTCAGACGCTCCGATTTTTCTTCTCTGGTCTGCTCGTCTTTCCCACACCTTTTGGAAAATAATCCTGACCATCCCGACCTCTGGGCAAGTTCCTAACGATCCGTTGGCCCGAAGGAAGGGCTGGTGGGCGTGTTCCCCCGCCCGAGGTCGGGGCTGGGCCGCGCTTGGCCCGGAAACCCAGCCCGCGCGGCGCGGCGGCCGCTATAAAGACGAAGCCCCTAGGCTGCGGCGGCGGGGCAGCTCCCGGCTTCGCAGAGGGTACAGATACACCACGTCGGGCCGCCACCCAGGAGCTACGACGATGGCACCCGTGGGAGGCAAAAGAGCCAAGAGGGTAAGTCAGTCTTCAGGTCCCGCCGAGGCTCTGGGTCCACATCCAGCGGCCCCGCGCTCCAGACTTGGCCAGCGCAGAAGGGACCCTTGAGCCCTAGCACTCCCCACCCCGACCCGTGCTCAGACAAGGAGGTGCTCCCAGGACCCCTTGTGGGCACCTCGGCGCCTCTGGATCCCCACGTCCGGAGCGCACCCCCATCTAGAGCTCCCCCACCATCTATCTCCACTCCACAGGCACCCACTGAGCCACTCCCGGCTCCAGGGCACCCCGGGAGCCCACCTTCACGAACTCCGATACTTCTCTGAGTTCTGCACCCCCAGACCAGACCGCGCCTCCCAGGGCTACTGCTCCTAGACCTCCAGGCGCGCTTTCCCTCTCCCTCTGCGCCACCCGGGCCGCGCGCGCTGGGCCCACTAGCGGGGAGGCGCGCGCGCTTCGCAGACGGTTTCCAGCCCGCGCCTGCTGCACCGGCACGCCGAGGACTGCGGGGCCGGCTCTCCGTGCGTTCGGCCTCAGTTCCCCAGCCCCACCACTGTCCTTGACAGAGGCTTTGGCTCCGCGATGGTACGTTCCCACCTGCGGTTTGATTGCTCCACCTTGCCCTCCCAAAGTGTGCCCTGGGGCGGCCTTAGCTACACCTTCAAAGGTTGATCTTTGGAACCCACCCAGCCCCTATCGGGAGGAAGGCTTGGCGATCAAGATGACTCACTGTCATGGAGTTGATATCAACTCATAGCGACCCTTGTAAGACCGGTAGAACCTCCTCTCTGGGTTTCCATGACCGCATCTCTGTATAGCAGGAGAAAGCCCTGTCTTTCTCCAGGGAGCAAGCTAGTGGTTTACAACGGCTGGCCTTTCGGATTGGAGCGCAACACATAAGCCCTGACGGAAAGAAACCCACGTGGAACAGTTCACCAAGCCAGCCGTTTCAGAATAAAAGAGGCAGAAGGATCTTACGATTTCTAGGGAAGGGTAGTTAGTAAGATCTCAAACAAACCAAGAAAACATCAGCTGCAGAACCTGATAAACAAGTTCACCCCTTCACTTTCCCAGCCACTGTTGGGCCCAGTGTTCACAGTACCACCGATCGGCCCTGGTGCATGGGTGGGTGGTCAGGGTGACTGAGGGGGTGTGGTTGGATGAGTGGAGTGAGGCCAGAATAAATTCCTGTAAGTCCTGTTTAGGGATAACTTGCCCTTTCATCAAGTTGGGCTGCCAGCTTCAAGGTCAGCAGTTGGCACCACCAGCCACAGTGTGGGAGAAAAATAAGGCTTTGTACTCTGTTAAAGATTGACAGCCTCGGACACCCACAGGAGCAGTTCTACCCTGTCCTCTAGGGCCACTCTGAATCAGAGCTGGCAGTGAGCTTAACAAGCTTATGTTGTTGGCCCTTTAATGTTATGTAAACAACTTTAGAACCATTGAACCACCCCTACTTGCAACAAATTCTTCATCACAATCCCCCTCCACTTGCCACACAGGCAGGTTGCTCTAAAGTTAGGGTCAATAAGAACCTTCTGTAGCTGTCCAGACTTCACCATCAATTCGTCTTAAAGACAAACTTGGGATCAACTCTTGTTCATAACCTGGGACTGCCCATATTGTATCCTTTGGTGTCAAAACAGCCTAAGAGAGAAACCAGGGGACATGGTAAAGGTGGTCTGTCCAGCTGTAGCTTTCTGCTGTAAGTCCCCTGAGGGCAAGTCCTTGTCCCACCCCTAACCCCTGCTGGGTAACTTCCTGGAGCCTGCCCAGTTTCTGAGAATGCTCCCCCAAATCAAAAACATTGTCACACAAGGAAAAAAGTTCATGCATCTAAAAATGTGAAAGGCATGTAGCATTAATAGTGTGTATGTTGATGGCCTGAGGGATGTTGATGGGGCAAACTATGACACAAATTCAACTTGGCTGAGAATTTCTGTCCACCATTTAAATGTTTAGTCCATTGCAGATTGGAAACAATGACTCCTTCAGAGATTTTTTAAAAATATTTTGTTGTTTGGCAACATTTCCCTGCTATGAATTCTAGCTCACTGTCCAAATTCAAGCAGAAAATTCGACATTTTAATAGATTGTTTGTGTGTTTTACATTATATCAGTAACAGATGGGCATAAATGAATGTTTCCTTGGTAATCTTGTTTTCATTTGTATGGCAGTGTTAAAACATGGATGATAAATAAATATACATATATATACATGATCGAGCTTAAAATTCAAACATATATTACAAAAGTAACACATGCCTATTGTAAACAAATAGAAGCTTGGAGAACATTTCATTTCCATGTGTATTCTACTAATTTGTATTTTATTTAGCAGAAATGGGTGGATGCTGCCCTATTTTATAATTCTGAGTTATACCCCATTTCATCTGACCCTTGTTTGTGCCCTTGATTGAAGTGCACTGGCTCTAGCTGTTGTTGGGCCGTGTCCCATCAGTTCCAACTCATAGCAAGCTCTTGTACAAGACAATGAAGCATGGCCAAGTCCTGAGCCATCCTCACAACTATTGTTCTGTTTGAGTTCGCGAAGGTCCATCCCTTTTGCTGACCCTCCACTTTACCAAACACAACATCCTTACCAAGCGTAAGCACACTGGTTAAGAGTATATAGCGATACCTATGTATCTTTTTCATGTTAATTGCTCCAGATTGATCAAAATTATAGTTTCAAGGTCATAGTATTTAGATCAAGACAAATACTTGGATTTCTAAATGACTTGTGAGTAATGCTATCTTTCCTGTTGGTGGGTACCTCCCGGATGCCCAGACTTGAGAAATGTTGGCTTTGGATTAGGGAGGGATGTAGGAGCATCCTCTCATTTTCATGATCTGAAGTGGAAATGACCATTGCTGCTTCTCTGTGGGAACCAGCTGTCCGGATTTGGGTGAGGCAGTAGAAGGGACAAAGATGTGAATCGGGGGGTTCTAAAGAAGATGGCCATGGGGGAGGGCGGAGAAAAAAGAAGAGCTGAGACCAAGGGCTCAAGTAGAAGGAAAATGTTAGGGAAACTATGATGGCAACATACGTACAAATGTGGTTGATGTGATCAATGTATGGATTGTTATAAGAGCTGTAAGAGCCCTCAATAAAATGATTTATTTAAACTTTTTAAAGAATAGAATAGACACAGACACATAGGGGAAAATATTCAGGTAGAAATATATGTATAAGCAGCTAAAAAACACACACCCGATGCTACAGGAGCTGAGAGAGACAAGGATCTTCCCTTTGCGTTAGAAACAGAGATCCTCGCCTCAAAATGTAATCTCCATCTACAAAACAGTAAAACAAGCCCCAGACCTGTCCCCATATACAGAACGGACCTCAAGAAGGATCAGAGACGTAACTGTCAATCCCAGACTATGAAGACCGTCAGGGAGCAAACGGGAGCAAACGTAAAGGCCTTATTATTGCAGGGCCCAGACATGCCATCAAATATAACAAAGGAAACACACAGGAGAAGACAATAGATGTCTGTGACCTAATACAAACAAGAACCCACAGACTCGGAGAATTGGCAACCACACAACAAACAGATCTCTAAAATCTATAGCAAACAGCAACACTTCAATAAAAAAGTGTTTTTAAAGACAAATAAACAAATTAGAAAAAAAAGAAGAAGATGACCAGATTGGATTATTGGTGTTATTAATGTGATTACCTTATACTCCAGGGCCATTGATGACAATTTTTTTTGTTTCGTTTTGTTTTGTTTCTTGTTTCTTTGGGGGTTTGTTTTAATTTTTGTTGTTCTTGTTGCTATTCTGGTTGGGTTTTGTTTATGTTTTAGTCATAATATGACCACCAAAGTAAACAGACTTGTTCATAACTCGGGACAAGCAGATGGATTCTGGGCTCCCACTTAATTCTAGCCCCCATCCAAAACAGTTAGTTCTTATAACATGGCCCTGCTCAATACTTGGCTTCATGGAGAAATCACTGAAGATAAAGGGTCCTATAGCAAAGTGTGGTGAAGAAAGCAGATGGTGCCCAGCTATCAATTGGAATAGTGTCTGAGGTCTTAAGGCTCGTATTCAAACAAGCAGTCATCTAAATGAGGCATCAACTAAGTCCACGTGGAAGAAGCACACCAGCCTGTGTGATCTAAGGATAAAAAAATCCAAATGTGATGAAGGGGAGAATATCAGAGCTTACATTGTGAACACCCAGTTTGTAGCAGACTATGGAGGACATTGGGAGCCCAAAATCCACCTGCAGAGATTAAACCACTGGCAAATGCCCTCTAGTCACAGGCAAGGTTCTCGAACAGCTTTACTGTCAGACAAATTATTGTAAACTTGATTATGGTGAATGGAACTATGGTATAATATGATACCTGATCAGTTGACCTCTCGACCCAACCTGAATTTGCTCTGGGTCTAAATATTTCTCACTCGTTCCACAACAGAAATTTCTTCTCTGTCTTTTTAAATATTGTTGGTGGTCTTTTCTTTCTTATTCTTCATTTTTATCTTTACGTTATTACTATTTCCATCTTTCTGTTTCATTTTGGGGTGTTTTTTTTATTGTTTCTGTTAGGTTTCCCAGTTTATGAAGCACAGAAGAAGGAGTGGATGCATAGAGACAGTAACTGTTGCAATGGCTTATCAGGGATGGGGTGAGGAGTGTAGGGGAACTGGGGAGTAAACAATGTGTGGGACACAAGGATTTCTCTCAAGTTGTCTCCCCCAAATATTTACCAGACTTAGCTGCTTGAGAATGAC